GATGATGATGATGATGGTGATGATGGTGATGATGATTGCTGTTACTGTGTACCGTGGGCACGTGCTGCTCCCGAGCGGAGCCGGCGCGCCCGGGCCCTGCGGGGCGGCTCGTAGCGCGTCCCGGGCGAGGCGTTGGCTCCGCGGGGGACACGCTCTCGCTGCAGGTCTGGAGACCTTCGTCTCCGTTGCTAAGGCGCTGCCGTCGCCTGAAATATATGATGTCGTGGAGGGATACGTGAAAATTTCCATGGAGTGCGCTGAAATATTCAAACTTCTGGACGGAGAAAGGAAGCCTGAAAGTGAAGTAAGTTGGCCGTGGGTGTTAGGGTTTAATGACTGACAGCGTGCGTCCCGACAGGGAGAGGAACCACCGAATAAATGCTTTGCATTGTAAATAACTGATAATTTAGTGTGTTTGCTGTGGTGTTGTTTTTCTTTTTTTTTTTTTTTTTCTGGAAGTCACAGTGGCAGAAGCATTGATCAAGTGGGAAATGTCCTTTTCAGGGCAAAGATGCTCCTGAATTTAATGATACTCACAACCAGTAGTCCTGCCAAAATCAAGCTGTTACGGTTCTCTGAATGTTATCTAAAGGCCATTTATGAAATAAGGGTATCAACAGAAGCAGTTAAACAAACAACAACAACAAAAAAGTCCAGTGAAAGTAATTGGTTTTGGGTAGCTAGACATCTCCCTGATACGTCAGTATTTCTAGGAAGCCATTGATAAAGTTGACCTCATTTTTCTCATCTGAGCTGGTGGCAATTTTCCTCATGAGAGTATGATGGATGAACTAAAGAATTAAAAAACTCTCTTCACTGTGAACACTGAGGCTGCATTATGAACTTAAATCTGCTTCCAATGTAAAATTGGATAGTGTTCTTTTAACCTCCTCTTGTTGGCCTTTGCCTTAGATTATCATTTCTGTCTGTGTAATGGCGACCCGTGTCATGTTCAATGACATGTTTTTTTCAAGATCCTTTTACTAATAGGGGCTAATACTTGTAATGAATACAGTCCCAGCGCTGTGCAGACTCTGGATTCATCTAGAAGGAGTTAATTGCAAGACTGGAGCAGCTGGGATGGTTTTCTTCAGCATGTTTCATTGTGCACTTACTAGCAGTTGTCTCTTAAAGCATTGGTTCATTAGCCCTATAGGCCTTGGCCTCCAGCTTGAAAAGGGCCTTCAAGATCCATCAGCCTGTGCTGAGATTTGCACTGCAGTCGGTCGGTGTTTGCATCCCCAGAAGCAGCTGTTGTGCGGTACACAGATAAATAGTGCATATGCATGCATGTACGTATGACCCTTCTTTACATTCAGTTTATTTGTCTAGGATTGTACAGGCCTTCAGTCTGCATGTTGGCTTGGGCTTCCAGTGGAGGTTTTCCCTCCCTACTACTGAATTTCATGAGTTTAGCAACTGAATAATAAGAGGAGTCAGCTGACCTCCTGTGATTCTCTGGTCTTTCATATAGTATCTGTATAGGGGCTTCCTTGAAAATTTGCACTCTCAGAACTAGTCCTTTAGAAGAGGAAGCATTGATTTGGAAGAGAATTTGGAAGGTAACTTCGCCTTCAGATGTGGAAGCTTTCCTCTTGCGGTGGGGTTACTCTTTTTTTTTTAATGTTGTTTGTTACTGGTTGCTCAGCTAATAATTTCAAGCCATACCTGATATTGGCAGATGTTAACATATTTCTGTATTTTACAGATGCTATTAATCTTTCAAGCTCTAGAGGCCATTTTACTGAGGACAGCCAGTGACCTCTCCCATTTTTCTGTTGTGGGAATGAACATAGTTAAAAAGTTGATTCATTCCTACATGAGATTGGTCTATGCTGCTTTGTATTCTGAAAATCACAGGTAAGTCTTCTCTGTACTGTTGCGGAGAATCTCTTGTCAGTTGCTCTGAATTGATCCTGAGGGGCTGTCTGGGTCTTGCATATGTGTACAGGACTTTGCAAAATTCAGCTTGACTTACTTCTAATAATCCACCTTTATTTAATGATACTGTTCCACATTTCATAAAATAAGTTCCACGTTTCATAAAATAAGTGTACGTGGAAGTCTTTGCAAGGTGAAAGCTGTGGTATAGGACACAGTCTAATGCTATATGATACTTTCCCAAGGCTGTAGTTTTCATTCATCGTGCCTATCCTAGTAAGCGGTAAAGCGGATGGTATCTTGAGTCCTGTTATTTTCATGCTGCTTGGTTTGTGAAGTGAAATGTACTGTATGGAACAGGGAGGAACAAGCTTTCTTGTAGTTCACAGAGGCTAAGCAGTCTTATCTCGTGATGGCAAAAGGAGCTGCTGTTGAGTGTTTTATTTCCCTGAATTTTTTGTAGTGAGATTTCCATGTTTATAGTAGATCTTTTTATTTCAGACTGACTTTTCCTCTAACTTTTCCTGTCTCTTAAATCTAAGGCTATTTAAGCACTCCTGTGTTACCTAGTCCAGTCTAAACAACAATTTCTCATGCTCTGTGCACGGAGTGAGAGACATTCCAAGTGTCAGTGAAATTTTACTACAAACCTGGGAGGAAGAGGAAGGGAGAGAAAAAAACAGAGACTGCAGATGACTTGTCTAAGGCCAATGACTTGTCTTTCGGTCTTTGGACATGCCAGAATTAGAAAAGCCTTTTCTGCATGTGTTCATGGACACAACTATGCCTCCTGCACCATTCAGTTGATCTTATTGCAATAAGCATTTTATCTGCACATAGAATCCCAAATACTAGTGGATAGGTATATTATAAAATAAATTTTGAAACTGTGCAAGATCTGCACTTTTTAAGCATATAAAGAGTATAACTTCTGGAGAAATCCTTCTACAACCTGCATAGAGCAGGCTGCAGATTTCTGATGGTATATGCTCTGCTTTTTCTGTGCTACCTCTTTGATGTGCAAAGGGATTTGATTGTGGTGGTATGTCTAGATGGGATCTCTGCTTTAATCATATGGCTTTCTTACAGATTGTCCATGAATGAAACATCATAGACAGATTCCAAAACCGTTTATGGGTAGTAGCTCTTCAGATGATGGAAGTCTGCAGACTTGTACCCCATTACCCCATCGTGTTCCCATTGAAATAAATGGGAAAATTCCACGAATTTAGGAGTTCTTAATTTTTGGCACTTTCCTCCTTTTATGCTACTTTATAAAGTGAATATCCAGCCTCTCATTACAGCTTAATTTTTGGAAAGAATATAAATAGGCATTCCCTTTTCCCTTCTTCCCGCTCCTCTCCTTCCCAGTTCCCATTATCACTGCCTAAAATAATGGGTTTGGTTGTTTTAACTTCCCTTCTATTTTCTCAGGCAAATTTTCCCAGTGGTCAGAGAGCAGGAATCAAAAACTGAGTGTAGATCTTGGGATTTAGTTCATGACAAGACCAAGCTGCATACTTAAACCGAAGAAAACTTCTGTCACTCAGCTAAAACAAAAAATGCAGTCTTACTTTGGCCTGTGCTGTGTGTGTCATTAACTTCAGCATCAGCTGTAGCTCCTGTGGACCTGCTTGTGGCGTAAGCGTTTGTGGGGGCTCTGTCCAACAAATACACTTGTAGAAATAAACTGTTCACAAAGGTGACCAAGGTTGTTTGTGAAGAGTGGAATAACATTTGTGTTTGGCCTAAATCTCTATTGTAATTGTTGTTAAAATAATTGGTTACATACTCAACTAAAGCTCCCATCAGCTGCAGCAAGAGCTTTGCATGACCAGGGATATTTTCCTAGCAGTTGTCTTGGTTGCTTGTGTTGGGACTGACTTGGAATTGCTTCATGCCTGGAACTCCTGAAGGCTCGGGTGGATGTTGGAGGTGAAGTGGGATAATTTCTTTTACAGGAAAAAGGTCTTTCTTTAGGTTTTAATCTCTTGATTTGGTTGTTCGTATAACTGTCATCCTGGAAATAACCTGTAGGTTTTCCTCTGCATTTCGTTTTAGGATGAGCCGCATGTGCCTTACCCTGTTGTCAGCAATGGTGGCTCAGGGGCCAGATTCAGCAAGGGATGTGTATAGCCATTTTGATTTCAATAACAAGTTTCTGCCTGGATTATTGAAAAAAAGATGTAAGAAGGTAAATTAAGCTGCTGTATGCCATGAAATGCTACAATGTGGCTCTGTCGGTTTTCTTCTGCCAGTCATTTAAAACGAAGCTGTTGCCAAAGTCTCTTTGTTGTGTTTTTGTCTGCAAGAACTTACCTCTTCTTTCCTGTCCTGTGTCAAGCTGAAATGCTTCTTGATTGTTTCTAATTGGCAGCAAAATTGATCTATGGGGCAAGAGCTTCCCATCTATGTACATAGGAAATACCCAGGGAATGTTTCTGAGTATCTACAGGAGTGGGAGAGCAGGCCTGCTCCCTTGAGGTATAGCTTGCTTCATTTTCCATCCTGTGCTGGTCTTTCTCATCTTACTAGGGTGCAGAGCTCCTCAGAATAACCTTGTTTTTACACTGCCTTGTAGAATTTACTGCAAAACATCAAAGTGTCTTGAGTGTTTCTAATAAGCTGTGGTGAAATATAAATGTATAGTTTCTATGGGCTACCCTTTTAATCTCTAAAATGGAGTGAAAGTGACGGTAAACTTCTGAAAACTTCAGTGATGTGTTTGGGAAGAGCTCAGTCTTATCCAACACAAGGGTTTTGGTTCGGTCCCACTGAAATAAGTTGACTTTGGAGACTCTGCAGTTGTTTTAATGGAGAGAAGATATTTCCCAGTAGTAGTACAGTCAGAGTAATTGCATTTGAAAATATAACCAAGAGTTCTAAACAATCTTTTGGTGGAAATCCTTAAGGAGGGTATGCGAGTGAGTAGAACAAGTCACTTATCTTTTTGCAAAAGGAACTTTATTTCTTGTTTCCCCTCTGTTTGCTAAAAATAATTAAGGTTGACCTGAACCACTGTTTTAGAACAAGATAATTCTATGCCATTTCAAATATAAGTGTATAATAAATCCAATATTATTTTGAAAGCTGATAGGTTGTTTCTAGTTTTTAAAGGTGACTTGCAGAATGTATGTGTATGTTTGTGTTGGGTTTGTGCCATCTGTGGTGAGACTGTTTATGTATAAAGCAATCAAGTAGAAGGCAAAAAACCAAACACATACCTTTTTCCCTGAAACCACCTTTTCCAATTTTGGAATGTCTGATTTCATGGTTTTTGACCTTACTGCAGAAGTTGTCTTTAGGGCTACCTCCACCCCTTAAATGTAAACATTTGGATGTAGATAATCTTTTGACCACAAGCTTATTAGATATGGAAGTAAGGTACAAGCAAAAAAAGTCTCCGAAACTAGATTGAAGGTCTTACTTTTCCTCAGCTTTCAGTGAAATTATTATGTCACAACTGGTTATCAGGGGTGAATTTTTAATACAAAAATATTGGGCCCAAAGCTTACAGCAAAATCTCATTTCTTTCTCTTTATTTCTTCTTTCAGAGCTTTCCTGAGTCACTTCTGCCTTATGTTTAGCCTAATCAGTATCTTCTTTCAGGCATTTTTACGTGCAACTTCGATTTGCATAGTAGGTTTCAAAAAATTAAAAATCGTGGAGGGACTCTTTATCAGGGTCTGTAGTGATAGGACAAGGGGTAACAGTTTTAAACTGAAAGAGGGGAGATTTAGATAAGATCTAAGGAACAAATTCTACACCATGAGGGTGGTGAGGCACTGGAACAGGTTGCCCAGAGAAGTTGTGGATGCCCCATCCCTGGAAGTGTTCAAGACCAGGTTGGATAGGGCTTTGAGCAACCTGATCTAGTGGAGGGTGTCCTTGCCCGTGGCAGGGGGGTTGGAACTAGATGATCTTTAAGGTTCCTTCCAACCCAAACCATTCTCTGATTCTATGTTCATATCCTATAATCCTTTTCCAGGCAACGCTTTCACTACTTCCACTGTGCCTGAATTTGTAGTTTTGTAACATACTAGCTCCTTTTCTAAGTTTTTTTTTTTTTAATCAGACGGTCTGAGTTGCACAACCCAGGTAGCTCCATGAGCAGCTGTGATAGCTGAGATTTGTGTGTAATGCGCTGCAGGCCAAAGCTGGCAACGAGCAGCAGGAGTCCCCAAGACTGGCACTGCTCTGGAAGCCTGTGCTGTATGAAATAGCAGCAGCACTACTGTCATTACTGTTCTTGAATATTTTTGTGAATGTACCAAGTGGTGCAGAAGTGAAGGTGTACGGTGGTGTGTTTACAGGGTTTGGCATGAAACTTCGGTTCACATTTTCTTCTTTTTTTTTTCTATTTATGGCCTATCTCTTATATTGAGAATTGAAAAATATGTGAACTAAGACACCTTCGTTTTTGATGTTAACTTTAACAGACTCTGATCTGCTTAATGCAGAAGTTTTTCAAATTAATATACTGTGGATGTATTGCATATAAATGTGTGTGTATGGCTATGTGCAACATGTTTACAGAAGTTGTTTAATTTACCTGTTGATAGTGCTTATAAGGATAAGCAACTGTTGCAGTATTAATTTTGCAGTTGTATACAATCTGTATGCTAACAGTGCCTTTTATCGTTTTTAGGGGAGAACTGATGTCCGTATGGCCTATATTCAGTTTGCTCTCTCCTTTTTAATTGCTGGTGACAATGCAATCTTGACACAGGTGCTGGAATTAAAAGGTACTTCACAGTTGCCTGTATTTTTTTTTAAAGGGAGAAGCTTTTATAGGTGATAATAAATATGAGCTAGTTCAAAACGTGAACCAGTTAAACAGCACTAATAAGATACAAAATACATATTTTTAATCTTATTACCTGAAAAACTTTAAACTTCTTCAGTATTCTAGTGAGTGCCTTTTCTGTTTGAGAGTAACGTTTGCCATCTGCAAAAACCTTGCAAAAATAGAAATCCCTTGGTGACACACGTAAAAAGGGTAAATGTAATATAGCTTTAAGGCTGTAGAGTCAATAAGTGGAAAAAAACTTCATGGCCTCTAGCCTTGCCCATAACAGAGTAGTAGTGGATATGTTGCATTAAGGTTTTTTTTTAAAAAGTGTTGAAGTCTATACGTACTTTAGTTTCCTTTCTATCCTTGTGCAAGACGACTGTTGTGTGCTCCATTAGCCTACTTTTTGTCAGTGATTCAGGAGACCAGCGTAAATGTCCAAATAATCCTTTGTGGAGGCATTATGTGGGAGTGTAGTCCAGGAGTATGTTACACCCATGTCTCTTTGAGAAGGGGAACAAACTGAACTGACAAAGAGGATCCAGAAAGTTGAGTCTTACAAACGCTTGATTAATACTTGGTCCCTTATGTGCTGAAGATAGCATAAAGCTTCTGTTGACTTTAATGATTTGAAATCTACTGCTGATGTTTCTCAAGTTGTGAATTGTGACCCTTGGTAAGGTTATGAAAGAATTCAGAAGGGATCTACAAATAGTCTAAAAAAAAAAAAAGTAGTCATTAGCTGGCAGCAATTCATTTCTTCTCCAGTGAGGGAGTGAGAACAGGCCATAATTATTTACTTCTGTTATTCACACTACTATGGGGGCTGCAGATTTCGTTTAATTGCTTGCAGTTGTTCAGTTCTTTCAGGACAAGGAATGGCAGGGCACACCTAGACCCAGTCAGCACAGCTGGCTTTCATTCCACTGTAAGATACTGAAGTTCTCTGTGAGCTGAAGTTCTCTAACTTTGGGTAACCTCCAAACATTTGAGAATCACTCAGTGAAACAATTGATAGTCCTTCAACGGAAAGGATAGGTGTTTCCTCAAGTTTAAATACTGCATAGCATGTTGGGGCCCAAAATATATTTGAAATTGACAGATGCTGTTACAGTAAGCGTTAATAACCAAGTTAGCAAATTAGCTAGTTACAATGAGAGTAGGTTTGGCAGCATTACTTGTTCAGCACTGTAGTTACAGACACATCATCCTTCTGAACTCTCATTGCACCCTTTTGGTTCATCCTTAAATATAACAGCAAGGTAATTAGTATGACATTAAATGTGTATGAGTTCCCTGAAGCATTTCAGTGTGAAAATAGCTTTCACATTTTCAGTTAACGTTTGAAATGTCTTCTTAGATTTCATTCCAGATATTCTTCGCTCTGAAATAAAGGAAGACAAGGTTTCTACTGTCAATCTTCTACTTTCCACACTGAGAACTAAGGTATGATATGCCCTTGAAGCTGTGTTGTCTCTTGTTTTCTGTTTTCTTTGCTGCTGGAAACAGTTTTGCAGTAATTTCTCATAAAATGTACAGCTTTTTAAGGTGTTAGCACTGTGCTGCTTTTGCTGAAAGTTCATTAGTGTGTCCATTACTGATAATATTTGTTGGAGGTTGATAGCTTGGCTATATTACTGTTTCAGGGCGAAAGCTTGTTATGCTTTTCCAATACCTTCTTTTAAAGAAAGTCATTGCAGTTGTTTGTACTTGGATGCCAATTTCAGCTCATCTTTAGTGTGTGGTGTCCAAGAGATTCTGATTCTCTCATGGGTTGTGATTGCATCAGTGCCAAACCTGAAGGTCAAAAGAACTGAAGTCTTTTTGGTGACAGTAAGATTTGTCCTTCCATTAATGTGTCTCGTGCTGAAACGGGGAGGTCAGCTAGATTTGAGTAGCTTTGTTAGCTCTAAGCTAGGTGATGACATACAGTCTTCTTTCCAGGAGAAAAAGGATTTTGTGTGGTTTTCATATGGGGACTGTGATGTGAAATGGGTTTCTAGGAGCCTTCTGGTCGCAGTTGAAGGATATGTGGTACCATTCCCCAGCCGGTCTTGGCAGGGCTCTGTTGACGCCACATCCTGTGGTCCTGGTTAGCTGGGCTTTGGACTTGCTTACTGTTAGGATGGCAGGGTTTCTGCTGCAGGAGGTAAGTTTGGTATTTCTTGGTGGGGTAGAGGAAAAGGCAAGTCTTATCATAAAATTGTCCTCCCAAGATCAGAGAAGTTTTTGTGAAAAAGAAAGGGTGCATTCCACCTGGTATCAGAAAGTACTGTCGGAGAGGTAAGTCTGCTCCCCTTTGAAGTTACTTTTTCTGATTCTTTCGTATTAGACAGAAATAACCTCGTGATATAGCGGGGTTGAGATAGAAAACTTGAAAGCAAGAATTGCTGAAAGGTGTGAGAGTTGGTTTAGTGTCGACTGCCTTTCCAGTGCTCTGTTGTTCCTTAGCTTCTGAGCATGCTGTGCCTCTCACTGTGAGGCACCAGCTTGTTGCTGCTGTGGCTACAGCAACGGCACCAGAGATTTATTTTATTTCTATAAAAATGTTTTAAAAGATAAACCGTAGATACTGGTTTTAGTTCCGGTATCTACGATTTTTGAATCTCTGTTTTGAATTACTGAAGCAATGTTGCACAAACTGTTCTATGACCAATTGAGAGAATGAAGAAAAAAGTTTCAAATTTAGAGTGTAACCGTAAGAGCCTGCCTCAGACTCAAACTTTTAACAACTCACAATTTAAAGCCAAAAATATTATTTCGTTTTTCTGTTGTAATAACCTTAAAAGATGAAAAAGGCTAGCATTTAAATATAAAATAAACCTTGAAACTTTGTTTTCTGTATGAAGCTTCTCCCATATGGCAATCATACATCATGTACTGTTATGTTACTGATGAAACCTAACACAGTGTATGACTCATTCAGTTTAGCAAGGAAAACGAGAATTAAAACAATGCAGACAGGAAAACACAGTAGGAGAACTTCTGAGAACTTCCTCCACTGTGTTTTGCCTTCATTCAGACTTTATTTGTAGCAGGTTCTGCCATCTCTACCAGCAGGTTTCCATGATCCCAGTCTGTGGCTGTGCTACTATACATATATTCTGTGCTCTTTAGTTGAACTTGAAAGTCTATCCCGTCCAGCATATGCAGTGTTTGCAGAAGTTGGTGTAGAGTCCTATGGCTTCAGCCATATCAAGATGGGAGCAGGAGTGTGTCAAATACATGTTAACAGAACAGGCAGAACCTTTTGTCTGCTGTAGTGAGGAGAGCGAGCTGTGTATGTACTAGAAGAATGAAGTGTGTCGCTAATTTGCTGCTATTTTGTGGTAAATTGCAATAAATAGAAGAGTTGTTTGTTTGTTTGTTTTCTTGTTGTTTTCAGGTGGTTCAAAACAAAAATATCACCAAAACGCAGAAGGTGCGGTTTTTTACTTCAGAAATGTTGATTCACATTGCTTCACTTTACCGGTGGAATGGGATTACTGATGTCAGCCCTGGGGATTTTAAGGTCTGGTAACTTATTTCTTTGTAACTCCTTGCCCTGCCTCCCCCTCACCTTCCCCCACTGCCTTGCAGCTCACAGGTTTTGAGATACTCTAACCTTGATGAGCTCAAAAAGGGGGATCTGCTGAGGCTACTTAAAAAGAAACTCTGACTCTCTGCTGCTTCTCAGGGCTTTGTTTCCTCTCCCTGATTGCCTGAACAGCAGTGCAGATCTGTTAACCAGCGAGAAATGGTTCTTTCGGGTGCAAGTACTGTATTCCATTTCCTGGACACGTGTGTCTCTATAGGAGAGTACAGCAATGTTCTTACCACATGCCTCGTTCCCATCCTATACGCTGATTTGATATGAAAGCTAAACTCCCAAGATGGTTGCCAGCTTTTTGAGCTTACGTTGTTTGAGAGGTTGGCAGGGTTTCTGAGGGTTGAGCTGTTACTGATTCTACTGGTCCATGAAATCCCATTCCTAAAGTCATAGATGACGGAAGCATCAGGGCTGCAGCTGGCGCGTGTGTGTTAGTACTGCAGATGTTTTGTCATCTTCTCATCAATAGTTTACAATTTTGCTTTTTAATTTTTCTGAATCATGTAATCTCTTTTTTCCCCCTCTCACTGTGGGAGTATCTGAGGCATGGCTGTAAGCCCAATGCAAAGCAGTACAAAGACTTCTGTGCTTCCACTGGGTTTGGCTGCAGACTTTTCACCTTATGTTGATTAACAGTTGATCTTTAGAAGCCTGACTTTTCTTCTTCAAACTGCCTTCTTATACTTCCTCTACTGGATGTTTATACCTGTGCCATTCTCATCCTGATACATAGTAAACACGTTTTGGAGGAGATCTGTTTCTGCTTGGAGCTATGTAAGTTTCTGCTTGGAGCTATGCAAATCTATGACTCTATCCATAAACATACATTTCAGTTTTGAGTAATTTTAAATTCTTACAATTCCATGCAGTCCTTGTGAGTCATATGATTTGTGATTCCTCAAGCCCAATTGTCAATAGGTCATTCGTAGGGATCTTGAGTTGTGCAAGATGTAAAAGGTTAATGGAATCTGAGTTCTTTTGCTTGACATGGATATTTGGTCACTTCTTCCATTTTTTGCATGGTGACTGTAGTGGCATTGATGCCCCACCTTTCCCTGAAGTGTTAGTGTACTCAGTGTGTTCTCAGCTATCCATCTTTCTTGCCCCATGTTAAAGTTTTTCCATCTTCTGCCAAATTGTCCCCCAAAATATAGATGGGCTTGTTTCATATGCTTTATGCTGAAGGCTTCAGTGATTTTTTTTTTTTGTCTTTCTGAACTTCCTCATAGTGGACCCGTCCTGTATGATTGAAGGTTGGTTATTTCAGATTAAATTAGATCCTTGACTTCAAAGTCCCAGGATAGCCTTGCCCAGTTTATTTAAGTTCTATATCACTACTTTTGTTCAGCTTGATTTTTCTCCCTCTTTTCCTGTCTGTTGTCTTAGCAAATGCACTGTCAGTAATGCCCTGCAAATGGTATGTAGGTACCTAAATTTGGGAAGTTGCTTTCCTTGAAACAGAAGGTATTGTAATATTTACTGTGTTTAATACAGAAACTGAAACTTCTCTTGTTAATTTGAACAAAAGTCAAACTTTCTTTTAGTGTTTCTGTAAAAGGAACTTTATAAAATCTGAACTGAAACTGATGTGAGATTTTCTTCTGTGATACCAAAAATCATATGCCTTTTTACTTCTTGATTTTTATAGGTGACTCAAGGTTCTGAAGAGGTAGGGAAGATGATGGTACGGGAACTGGTTCATAATTTCTTAATGGACCTCTGCTGCTCTCTGAAGCATGGCATAACTTTCTATGATCCAAGTCTTGGAACTTCTGGCAAGTAAGTCATCGGACAGTTGAGATGGTATGTGAACTTTGTGTTAGGAACAAGAGAGACCTCACCAGTTACCTTGTCTGCCCTTCTAGGCCTTTCCCAGTAACTTCACTGAATTCCGCTTCCATCTCTTTCTTCTGTAGCAGATGAAAAAAATACGTTGGGTATTTTGTTGGTTTTGTTTTTAACTTCCCAAGATCAAACTATTGGATCTCCTTATACCTTAGCATACTAGCATAGAGAGCGTTCTGCCCTATTCATAGAGGCTTAGGCTGTGGTCCTGTTTCTTTGAGACATCTCCTTGTATAACTAGATAAAAAGTCCCTTGTTGTAAGGTATGGTTTTGGACCATAGGTTTTTTTGATGTGACAATAAAGCCTCAAAGCTGCAGTGTTAACCAGATGGTGGTAAAATACCTAGTCCAGTTTACGTTTTGTAGGACCAGACGTGGTTTATCCCAGATTTTGGCAAAATGCTGACATTGATTTCACTAGTGCCAAGAATTTGGCCTGCAGCACCTAATCGGGAAGCACCTGTTTGCTCTACTGTCTTCGTCTGCTAACTAGTTAAAATGTGTGCACCAAGATTATGACTGACAGAGAAAATAATTGAGACTCTTGTAATTCCATGGAGGGCTTCTCAGGGTGGGTTTATGCTTCATCACATTAGCCGGGCAAAGAAGGTACTAGACTATAGTAGCAGATACTAGTACTGAGTGGTGCTAGAGCATGTTGTTTCTTGCTTTGAGCAACATTTTAACTAGTATTCATCTGGTATCATATTCTCACTTTGTTTAGGGATATGTAGAAGGAAAAAAAGGGATTGAAAGATGACAGAAAATACTTTCAAGTTTAATATTAAGTTTTAATTCTACACTTTTAGCTTTGTGAAGTTTGGTTAGAATATTTCTGAAACATTGTGGTTTTAGTTATTTCTGTTTTTCATGCAGAAAACATCAAGGTAAACTCAGTTCTTACTTTTCTGAGTATAAACTCAGAAATTATGCCAGCAGTGTGAGGGGTCTTGCCTTGAATTTACCCCAGCAACAGTTAGGGGAGTTGCAGAGTTAGCATCATATGTAAAGTATGGAAATAAGAATTTAAACTATTTTTTTTTGTCTTCGATAGGGGAGGAAATGTGGTGCTTCTGCGCTTTCTGCTTGGTTTAAAAACTGCAACAGAAGATGAAATGGTTGCTGATCTTTTGGTGAATGTTCTTAAAGTATGCCCAGATTTATTGAATAGATACTTTAAGGAGACTCAGTATTCCTTTGTTCCTAGACTGAAGTCTGCTTGGATGGACAATATGAAGTTACTCAAAAAGGTAAAAGTATGAGTGGTGCACACTACCTCCCCACAGAAGTGTGCAGTCCCAATAATTTTTTTTTTTCCTCCAAATATTGAAGTAGTTTTTGTTAAGCAGTAGTGCAGAATTACACAAAATCGTAATAGGAAAGATAGTAAAGTCAAACATTCCTGACCTATGGAAAAGTGTCCAAGCCAAGGAACTTGGTAATAGATTGGTAAGCCTGCCTTTGATTGGCTTTATTACAGATAGATATTGTAATGCCATTCCTTTGTAAAATTTGTTACAATTTGGGTACTGTGCAGTACAGAGCCCGGCCAGCCTGCTATGTGGCCATGTTAGGAATAAACTAACTCTGAATTCATGAATTTAGCTGAGATCTTCCTAGTGACAAGGAACAATATTTCAGTGATTTCAAAGGAACAAAGTTGAGGATCAGGGAGGGTTTTTTTTTGTGTTGTTTTGTTTCAGAAGCAGCTGTTCTGTATCAGAGGAAACTCGCATGTCTAAAGATGTATTGTGTTCACAGCTGTAAATGCACAGTGCTTTAGAGTTTATTAAAATCACTAGAAGTCACACAGGCACAGTATTTCATAAGTAATGATTTTAAAAACAAAACAGTCCAGCAGTGGGGAAGTTAGGTGACTGAAGTTTAAGTGAGCTAAACAGGAAGGACTTAATGGTTCTGAAATACGACCATCAGTTACTATGGGTATGATAGGAAAGAAGCAGCAGGATGCTGTTAAATGTCGAGGATGGTAAATAGAGGGGGGGGGAAGTGGCATCCTGTTTTCTATGGGTGCTGAGGAAGATGAGCCATGGCTCAGAGCCATAGCTGCTTTAAAAAGTGCAGGCATAGAGTGAGCTGGAAGGTCGTGTGGTAAAAAGCCATGCTGAGAGCAGGAGGCTGTATAAACATTTAACTAAACTGAGAAAGAAGGAATTGGCATAAGAAACTGGGAAACATCACGTTGATGATGCTTTTTTTTGAGCTGCAGCGACATAGAAGCTCAGCTAGAAAAACCTTTGTCTGTTCTGAGTGTTGCTGTGCCTCTTTGGTTAGCTTAAAATGGTCAAATAGGATCTGTAGTCTGTTGAAAAGGGGTGCCTTTAGCAAGAGTGCAGGTCACATACAGATGTTCCATTTAGTTGAAGTCTTGGGGATGCTGTGTCAATTTTTATGCAGAAATGCTACACTTAGTGCTGTCATTACTTTTCACAAGTCAAAACCCTTCTATATAATGCTCCCCAGAAGAAGCTGTTCTCTCCAGGGCCATATCAGTGTTGATGAAGTTGTTATTTTTATTTCAGATCTATGAGGCTCAACCGGAGATCTCCAATTCTTTTAAGACTTCAGAGTTTATTCCTCTTCCCAGGTTGCTTTCTATGGTGATGGTAACAACAGTCCCTGCAGTGTGCAACAAAATAATGTTCACCCAAGGACTAAATGTAAGAGCAGTCTGTAGTATTTCAGTGAATTTTTCTGTCCGAGTTAATACTGTTTGATTTAAGTATGTGATCATCCAAGAAGTTTCTTGAGGTGATTAATTACATATGTTTTGTGTTGTCTGTCCCAGCATAAGTCTGGCTTGGGGAAGTGCTGGAAAATGAATTAAAACCCATTGATACTGCTTCCAAGAGCCATTCACAAGCACCAATTCTGCCAATTCCCACTAGTGATTTAAGCTGGGAGTCTGAAAACCTACAGGTTCTTTCCTGCAAGTCAAGGTTAAGGAAATAATTAATTCATTAACATATATTAAGAGTACAGTCTATGTGCAAAGCGTAAGAGGAACCACTGAAATGTCATTAATTCAACTTCCTTCTTTTAGTTACCCAGCACAGTAGTGAAGCACAGCATACTGTCACTTGTATCAATGGTTCTGAGAAGAGCCTTGAAGAATATTGATTACTGTTTGAATGAAGAAACTTGGCAAAAGTCAGAAGTCTTCACACTGTCAATGATGCAGGAATTTGTACAGCTGTACAGAGAAGCCATCAGCAAGGTACAAAGTATAAAACGAGAATTGGAGTCTAACACGAGTAATTTTGCAGCAGATAACTACTCCTCTGCACTTTCTCCCCAAGTGGTTGCGGCATTGGAGCCAGGAGATAGTATCTTTGGGCAGGGGGAGGGGAATGCTGTGGATTGAAAGGTGTTAATAGCTGGTGTGGTAGTAGACTACATTTTCTAATGCAGCTGGATGATGGAAATGCAAATAAGATTTTGTTGTGAGACAAATTTTTAACATTGACAGCTCTTGCACTGCAAACAAATTCCAAGAGCAGTCTTGGAAGCGAATTCTGCTCTGAATTCTGATTCAAGTAAATTGTAGCCAGCAGAGCTCACTCAGAGTTAGAAGTTACTAGACAAGATCACACTTGAGTTGAAAATATACAATGAAGATGAAGAGCCAGACATAAGTATTTCACAGGAAACTTCTTCAAGAGAATGTTCTTTCCAGTATTTATGTTCTGCAGATTTGAAAGTAGACTGCTTGATTTCAGATCTTTTTCATGTTGTGTTCAAGGTCAGTTACAACCTTTGTGAAGAGCAGCAAATCCTCATGTTGGTTGGTTGTGAATATTTTTATCACAGTATCTTTGTCTCATGCAGGAGAGCTATTTCAATTTCCTGATTTTGCTTTTAGCTTTTACCAGACATGAACAATATAGTGGCTGTCTGGCAGTCCCTTCTGAAGCAAGAGAGAGAACACCGCAGTGGCCAAGACGAGAAGAGGGAAAGTGATACCTCCACTGTGAAGGCAACGACTGAGGCAGCAGAAGTTGCTGAACAGCATGGTAGGCAAAGCAGATGGAGTTACCTCTTCTTACGTGTGTGTGAATGGGTGTTGTGAAATCCTTATCCCATGTAAGGTTGTTAACTTGAGCAGAGTCCAGATGCCAGTTGTGCATTTACTGTTCATCTTTGCTTTGTTCAGTTCTTTGGGCAGTTTTATTCTGACAAGTGTCAAAATTGCCTAAGAACACATTTTGACAAAAAGGCTGCCATTGCTACTGGAAGGTTAAACAGTTTGTCTTTCTGCTGTCATGGAATCACATAAGAATTGAGCTTGGAGGAGACCTCTGGAGGTCATCTGGTCCAACTCCCCTGCCTGAACCTGATTGCCCAGGACCATGTTCAGACAGCTTTTGATTATCTCCAAGGATGGAGACTCCAACAACCTCTCTGGACAACCTGTGGCAGTGCTCGGTCACCCTCACAGTGAAAAATTGTTTACTCATGTTCAGAGGGAACCTCCTGTGTTCCAGTCTGCCCATCGCCACTGGGCCTGTCACTGGGCACCACTGAAAAGAGCCTGGCTCTGTTGTCTTTGCATCCTTCCTTCAGGTATTTATATACATTGATGAGATCCCCCTGAGCCTTTTCTTCTCCACACTGAACAGTCCCAGCCCTCCCAGCTTTCCCCATAGGAGAGATGTTCCAGTCCCTTCATCATCTTGGTGGCCCTTTGTTAGACTTTCTGCAGCGTGTCCATGTCTCTCTTGTGCTGGGGAGCCCAGAACTGGGCACAGTGCTCCAGGTGTGGCCTTACCAGTGCTGAGTAGAGGGGAAGGATCACCTCCCTTGAATTGCTGGCAATGCTTTGCCTAATGCAGCCCAGGATACTGCTAGCCTTCTCTGGGGCAAGGGCACATTGCTGGCTCATGTTCAGCCCAGTGTCCACCAGGACTCCCAGGTCCTTTTCTGCCAAGCTGCTTTCCACTTGAGTCACCCCAGCATGTACTGATGAATGAGGTTGTTCCTTCTGAGGTGCAGGGCTCCGCAATTCCTCTTGTTCAAGTTAACCCTCCTGTCCTTGTCCTTGACCTTCCTGTGCTAGTAAGAGTATTTTGCAGCCACACAATAAAACAGGCAGGGAAACTGATATGCCTGAAAAATAATTTTTTGAGGGATTTTTGTTTGGCGAAGTTATTTTACTATGAGATCTTTTTTTTTGAAGCAGTGGTGTTGCTGTAGCATGGGAGCAGAAACATGCAAGTGTTGGAAGAGGGAGAGGGGGTTGGAGTGCAGGCTTCAGTTTTCCTCTCTCAAAACCAGTGTCCCTTCTGGAAGTTTTGGTACTCTCTAGCTTGCCTAGCAGCCTACAATGTTTTACTTACAGACTGAAGATAAATCTGCAGCCAGTTTCATGTCCTTCACAGGGCATATTCTACAGTGATACTTCCTGGCGCAGAGAGTTTTTCAGTGTATGTCCTTCCATGTGTGGCTTTGGGCAGCAAAATAGTTGTCACTGCTGACACTCCAAGGCTCTGTATTGGTAGAGTGCCTGCTGAAACCAGTGGAGCAGCTAGTCTCTAAAGTACTGTAGCTGTAGTTTCTCTGCTTGATAGGGTGATAATACTGTATCACTTAACTCTCAGCTCACCTTTTATAGCTTTATTTGCACTGTGGCCACTAGAGAATTCTCTTTTAATGGGAATTGAGGCTCAGGCAAAGAAAGGCGTTTGTGCGTGGCATCCACCCAGTTCTTCCAAGCTCCCTGAGTGAGACCCAGTTAACAGGAAAAAAGTAGGTGTTAAAAAAAGTTTTGGCTGCCCTTCATTTATTTTGCTTCCTTTCATTAGTGACTGGATAACAAGTAGCTTTTATGCATCCTCATGTTATAAACTAAAAGAATATTTGGCTGCTGAGATAGCTTTTCCTAAGAAGTAAACAGCTGCCTTAACTGGGGTTGGTTTTTCATACAGATAATCGTTGTCTTCCTCATGCCAAGAGGTCACGTTGAGAAAGTATTATTTTGAAAGAGGGAAGGGAAAGAAAGAAACTTTTAACTGAAGTAATAAATTATTAACGAATTAGTTTACTATCTCCTTCACTTCCCCAGTCAAACTTACCTGGCATTAGGTAAAAATAGCGTCCCTGGAAACCAGCACCATGACCATATCCTTTCTTTCACTTTTTTCTGTTGTTCAACCTTAACAGCAGTGGGAGTGATTGGATTCTTATAGTGAGTGTTAAAATGTTGACGTTGTCTTTTATATGTGTAAACACTTTTGAATCGAATTAGAAATGGCAGCTACCAATTTAAACACTGAAGCAGCTGATTTAGTTTTAAAAGTATTCACACAGGAATGCTGGAGAAGGAAACTGGAGTTTCCATGTTTTTTTTCCTGTTTCTTCTTGTTAGTGAGGAAGATAACTGATCATTTCATGGGCAAGTCTATTGGAAATATAGTTAGTAATTCTCATGTTGGATAATGCAGGTGCTACTCTTGGTATGAAGGAATGAGAAACTGATTGTGTAAACACTTTGTTTAGGTTCAGATGATGCTGAGACACTGTTTCTGAAAGCTGCACTGCTTCAGGTCATATGCCTTTATCAGAAGGTTGTGCCCCACTTGGTAGCACGGAGCAACTTCGATTTTAGCAAGCTGCTAAAAGGTACGTGATGGATATTTCTATTACCTTCATTGCTTTCTCTGGCTATTTACAAAGTCCATGGCAGAAGGAAATGTTTGCTCTTTGGTGTAGATAGAGAAAGAGATGTTTTATAAAAGGAACCTGTTTCAGTTTCTTCATTGTGTTGGCATTTATTGTTGCTATTTCTGCAGTGCTCTGGCACTCTGCCCTCTTAAATTCCATAGCTGCTCTGCTACACTCAGTTGTTATAAGTGGTAGGTTGTGCTACAGTCTTCCTCTTTGTGTCATATTCTTGCGAATATTTGGTCTTTAAGAGGTTTTAATTCTAATTTCTGAGGAAGACTTAAGTCCAACTCTTCATGAGATTTGAGTGTGTAATTTTCCTAGACTCATGTCAGCTATCCAACGTAACTAAGTAATTTTCAAACTCTTATTAACTGCAGTGATACAGAATTTCTTTTTAACAGGCTAGTTCACAGAAAGCTTGAGATAGAGGAGAAGCATGTACTAATTCACTGGTCTCCTCTGGAAAATCTTTTGACATTCAAGTATTTTTTCCATTTGCTGTGTTTTGAATTATTTTGTCATAGTTTGGCAGTTTGTGGGGAGAGAAACAGTATTCTGTATGATGTTATCTCCTGTGGAAAATCTATATGAGGAAGCACTTTAGCAATATAGTTGTATTTTTGTCTCTGATGTCATGTTCATGGAGGATATTCCTCTTCATACAGCAGAAGTAAACAGAGACGTTCTGTACCTGCTTAAAGCAGCAAGGATGTTGAGCCACGAGTTATGGGCTGTGGACAAGATCCTCCAATACTGCTTGTGGTACAGTAAATACAGCCATTTAAAACTGAGACTGGAGGAGACAGCAAAATGTTGTTTGGGCATCATTGCTCTCTGTGGGCCACCAGAGCTTGCAGGCCGCCAAACTAGAGCAACTATCTGTGTTTTAGGCAGGTCTGGGATGTGTAAGGAAGGGAGTTACGTAAATGCCTTAATTAAAGTCTGTCGGGAAAAAGGGGCTTTAAACAAAAACCCCCTCTAAATCGACTATCTCATGCGTGAGGTTTTTCCTCTCTCTGTCAAAGCATATTTAATTGGTTTGTAGACTTGGTGACTCACCGAATCACATACCCTGTTTATCCCATTATTTCTCGCATTGGTCTGCTTTCTTCAAAATGGACAAAAGGCAGGACACCTTTTTGTGAGGCAGAAATCTCTGTGATGCGATGTTTTAATAATAAAGTTGAACAGGCTGGAAAAAAATGTCATTCTCAGACAAATGTGATGAAATGAGCCTGGATGTTAATTTTGAGGAAAGATGATATGGTAGAAAATGATGGTGTAAGTTAATCATGAAACTTCATTCTCCTAGATGCCAGCTTCCTTCCCCTTGCCCTGACTGAAACATACACTCCAAAGGGCAGCGTATTTTTCTACCTTGTAGCAATATGTTCTTTAAACAGCTGGTACAGTTTTGTTGTTTGGTCTTACTGTTGGCTAGACTTTGTAGTGACTTTTTAAAATGTATTGTTCTCTCTAATGTGGGCCACAAAGATACTACACAGACTCTGAAAAGTAAAGCTTTATACAGCTGATCGCTGTATGTAACTTTAACTGCAGTTGAAGTGTGGGCAGGTCAGTTTCTGGAGCGCACTGCGAGGGTCTCTGAACAGCTTGTGACCTGTAAGGTGAATAATTCTATGGCTGTGCCATAGCAGTTGTTGTGAGCAGATGATAAAAGTGGTGTAGAGAGAGACACAAGTCTAAAGTTCCATTACCTGTAGCAAATATTGTAATAGTATAAGCGTTAAGATTTGTTATTAACTTAAATTCTGTATTTTGGTCTCCAGTTCGTCCATCCTCTTTGCTTCCTGTAGGACACAGCTTTTCACGATTGCCGAGACTGATAGAAGAGATTTTGTATTCCCGTGCACCAGTGATGGCTTGTGCCAGGGGCAGGCGTTAGACTCTCCCTGCTGAGGGCTGGATTTCAGCTTTAGGTTGGCCAAACATAATCGTATTGTGTCTGGGATCTCATGGAATGAAAATTTGTGGACTGCCAGCTTATCTCACAGTGGTGGTTTGAAACCCTAAAATATTAGTGTTACGGAGATCTCAGGAAGATATATCAAAATTAAGTTGATTGTATTGCTTTCAAACCTCAGGTATCGTCACTGAAAAGGGTCTCCGAGAGGAGGTCCCTCCTGTTCTGCAGCACCATATACTGAAAGTGGCTTTGGAACTTCCTGCAAATAAATTTGCCTGGTTCAGAGTACAGGTAAGAGACTTGAAGGCAGATTTATGTTTCTTCGGCCAGTTGTCCTCAAATCTTTACATCTAGCACTGCCTAATTTTAAACTAGTCCCGGTCCAGTTGTTTTAGGAGGTGACCCTTTTGTAAAACCAGTAGGAATTATAGTCTTAGCCTTAGTCAAAAATCCCTTGTAAGCTGAAAAGTGTTTCTACAAGGACAGAAATTTTTGTCTCCCTGAAGAGGGCTGGACAAGGTTCCTTCAGCTCTCCTTGTCCTTGGAGAGGGGCAAGAGTGAGAATTTGCTTGTTTCCACTTGTCTGCAAAGCCTGAGATTTCAGACCAAGGAAATGAGCTGTTTATTGGAGCCATCCCACCCATTCCCAGAGGAGTTAGAGATGTATGCATCTTACTGGCATCATGGAGATGTGGTAGGATGGCTGCTATGACTGGAGTGTTGAAATGGAAGGATACAGACTTTTTAGGAAGGACAGGAAGGTGAGACTAGGAGGAGTTGCCCTCTATGTCAGTGACCAGCTGGAGTGCATGAAGCTCTGCCTGGGATGAGGAGCCAACCGAGAGCTTATGGGTGATGATTAAAGGGAGGACAGGGACAGGGGACATGGTAGTGGGGGTCTGCTACAGGCCACTTAACCAGGAAGACTGAGCGGTTGAGGCCCTCTATAGACAGATAGGAGCAGCCTCATGTTCACAAGCCCTGGTCCTCAATGGGGTCTTCAGCCACCCTGATATCTGTTGCAGGGGCAACACTGCAGAGCATAAGCAATCCAAGAGGTTCTTGGAACGCACTGATGATAATTTCCTTCTCCAAGTGATAGAGAAACCGATGAGGAGAGGTGCTATGCTGGACCTTGTTCTCACCAACAAGGTGGGGCTGGTGGGGAACGTGAAGCTCAAGGGCAGCCTTGGCTGCAGTGACCATGAAATGGTGGAGTTCAAGGTTATTAGGGAGGCAATGAGGGAACACAGCAAGCTCTCTACCCTGAACTTCAGGAGAGCGGACTTTGGCCTCCTCAGGGATCTGCTTGGTAAAACTGTCGTGGTTTTAGGCTGATCCAGCAACTAAAACTCACATAGTCTCTCCTTCTCTCCTAAAGTAGAGAGGAGAGGAAAAAAAAAACAAAGGGACTGAGGGTTGAGACAAGAACAGAGGGAGCACCCACCACCCATGGTCCTCGGCAAAACAGACAGGGCTTTCTCAAAGCAAAACAGTTTATTAATGATTACTTAGAAGGACAAAGGGAAACAGAAAAAACGATTACTTGAGAGGATAGAAAGAAACAAAA